GTTTTATACAGATATGCATAATTTTTTTTATATTTGTACTTGTTATAATTCCGTAATGTCAATATTTCGCAAGAACAATCAACATCTTATGATTAAAAAATAAGTCTGTCTCTTCTACTTTCGACAGAAACTCATTGGTCTTTTCACTCGATAGCTCCAAGCTATCGGTACAAGAATAAATACACTGATTGTATAATCCCATATAACATCCAAGCGAGTTATTATAACACAATGCAACGCGATATCTTTCGTCGAGCGGAAAGTTGCAGTTTCATGCGTAGCAACTTTCAAAAGCGATCCTCGCGAGGATCCTTGCAGGAAAACCAGTCAGACACGCGCGACAAGCGGAAGATAATATCACATTTCTTCGGTAGACAGCAATACGAATACGTATATTCTTTAGAGAGAAGTATCATGCACGATCTTCTCTTCCTGCGCTTGTCTGCATCAACCTGAATCTTAATTCAACCTTCCTGCATTCTGCTTAAATAAAATCTCCTGTTAAATTTTAAAGTTTGAATTTGTAATCTGACATCATATGCTGCGCTTATTTAGTTGCAATTTATTTGGTCAATTAAATAAAAGAATGAAAACGTTACGTTAGGACTGTCACAATATCCTAAAATTCCATAACCTGATCCTGATATCCGAACAAAATTTCATAATTTTTCCTGATGCTTCAATAGTATTAAAAAATTTTTTTGTATTTTCGTCCTAATTTGGAAATCATCAAATATTTTATTAAAAGAGCCATTTAACATTTAGCAATACAAAAATTACAATTAAAGTTACTGACCACTACTTGTATTTAACTGTCAAGTTGGTGATATTTCAAAGTAGATATAGGCAAATTAAACATTTTTCAAGCCAAGAATTTTAATTTTTGAAAAAATTTTGCAACGTTTCCTGACTTCCCTAATTCCTCTGATTTTCAGTTTTGTGGCAACCCTAAACATATATTTCATTTACCACAAATTTTCTCCTATAATTTTCACGATACTGCTCGTTGCGCCTTTCGACTTACTTGCGACAGCGCACGGATTTTTAACTTCAACCACCGTCGTGATGACGACTGAGCTTGCGCGACATACGAGACACAACACTTTCGCCGACCGCTCTCGCTTTCGTTCAACTGACGCGGGTCGACGACGTATGCGACGGACGATCGTGTTAAACGCGCACGCGGGTATCGACGGGTTCCGGAGACCCGACCGGGAGAGGAACAACGAAGTTGTATCCCGACGCGCAAGCGTCAGCTTTTCCACCTCAACGTTGCTTTGCGCGAGCTTGAAGGGGAACGTACATTCGGTCTCGACAAGCATTCGATTGGATGGACGTTCATTATCGATCTGTGCAGCAGATTAATTAATTGCAGTGATAATGGTATTGTAGAAGTATCGCGAATTTTCTTAAAGAATGTATAAATGATTATACTACGAGAAAAAACTGTAAATAGATTAATGCAAGTAGCTATTTAAAGTGGTAATTGAATATTCCGTTAAAAAAAAAACAAATATTAGAAAAATAGATACTATAAAAACTTGTTAATCTACTTGAAACGAGATCTCAAATTTTTACAAACTAAAATTATTAAATGACAACATGATAAGATTTCAAAGAAAGATTAATGATAATTATCTAATATTATTTACTTGAAATTGATTATGTTAATCTTTCTGTTCGCGATAAAAATTACAATTACTTCACAGAATCGAGGCTACCTCGTCTTGTATATGAATAGAATAGTACATACCTCTATCATACGTTACGTGCATAATTGTGATACCTACACGAACTTTTCTGCTTTCGGTGGCAGAAGCTAACTAAAGGTACGCACGTTCTCCGATGAAACCGAGAGTACAAAAAAGTCGAGAAATAAGAAGAGGGGATAGAAACGATGGCAAAGGGATAGAATAAAATATCCGAGAAAATAGCAAGACCCTACGGGGATGGGTGAGGGATAATATCTACCAACCACCTTTCAGCCACCAATGGAAACAGCCACCGCCCAGAGATAGCGAGAGGGAAAATGGGTTCGTTTATACCACGAAATTCTCTTCGCTTTCCTCTCTTCGAGAGAGATCGGCTATTCCGGGAAATCCGACGCATGTTATGGACACCGGAAGGGGAATAACGTTCAAACCGCGGGGGAGATTCGTTTCGTCCATTCGATCCCTGAGAGTTCTGTTTTCGGCGGGAGGGACGCAGTTCATTGGTAATTTAATGCTTCTTGTGATCTTTCTCAATAAAACGTCCGCAAAATACCATTGTTTTCGTGCACAAATGAAAGCCGCGAATATTCGGAGTACCTTCGACAGACATGCGAAAAGCACTAAATGTGAGAAGAAAACCGGTGTGCTAAGAGAAAAAATTACACAAAAACATCCGGCTATCTCATCACATTAAAAGGCATCGGATTAACCCTTGAATGATACGGCATTTGAGGTTATATTCGAAAAGAAGTAAATAGAAAATTTAGAAATGAACATTTAGAATTGTCTAAGAGAAAATGTTTTTAATCAAGAAATTTTTGTTAACACGTTCTTCTTATTAATTTCATTCATTAGCTAAATCATCGAGCATTATTATTAAGATCATAATTAAACGGATAAATTTCTTTTCAGATTATTTTGGCACAAATCGTACTAACAAGGAAACACAATCAAGTGTTTTAATAAGCTTTGGATATGTTAAAAATTAGAAAAAAATAATGGACATGTATTTTCATGATAAAAGGAGAAACCCATCTTTGACAAAAATAGATTTTTTCTCTTCTGAATGAATATCGTCTAAAGATATAAAAAAAATATTTTCTGTTTGATGTATCAATTCTCTTATATTTTATAATATGTTTATTTTTTTCTATAATTGACTTATACATGATATTGATATTTTACCTAAAGATATGACTACGTAGAGAATAACTAAGCGAACAGTTAAAATTGTGACATGATATTGAAAACATGTGTCTAAAATCACATTGTCACAGGAATATTATTATATTAAGTATTGTTAACATTTTTGATATGAAAAGAACTTTCCATTATTTCTTTATGTGAATTTTCTTGTTTGTGTAAGAGCTGGGTCAAGAAAAAATGTAGGACACTCGAACCCGGGACTCGAACCCAGGTCTCGTAGTATGGTAGTTCGTGTTAGCAAGTTACCGTCTTGCCACGGAGATACACAGCCCGATGGGAAGATTTTAGTTTATTTCTTACATTTGGTTTTGTAAGGTGAGTCGCTGAATAAAATTACATATATTTAGATTATTGTCTAATTAATGGATTTGAAAATTTACAGATAAATTAACATCTAATCTGTCAATTAGATGCGACTTGATTTACAATACTAGTTAAGGATTTTTAGTTTCAGCATGTATATATATTAGCTGAGGAAGACTCAAAAAGGAGTCGAAACGTACTATTTTATATTGTCAAGAATAAAGGATTTGATAAGAATCCACGTTTTGATTAATTACGTACCAACAACAACGCTGTACTCTCACTCACCTTTCATCTTGAAACTTTTTAAATCAAGAGAGTCCGTATAAGAAGATTACGTTTTTGGAGAGAATTGATATAAAAACAACTTTAAATTAAAAATTGAATGTTTTCAAAAGTACTCTCTGTATAATAATAAGCAATTTTTTTATTATTATTATAAAATACTCTGAAAACTATTCAACTTTTATTTACAGTTCCTATAAATATCTTTAGTGATTCAGATAATATTCTTTTAGAAAAAAAACGATTTTTTCCAAAGAGGACTTTATCCTTGTACATATGAAAAGCACTTATAAAAATACATATCTCTTATTTTTATTTATATTTTAACATATTCAAAGTCCACTAAAATTGAAGAACGACATTTAGTTGTGTTTCTTTGTAAAAGTTATTAGGATTAATACGTGTTGTGTGACCAATCGAGGGTTGAATCTGCGCCCAAAAAAATCAAGAGAGCACTTACCTCGCGTGACTGCCGCGGCCTTCGCCGGAAGTTGCCGGAAGTATCGTGTCCGCAGTAGTAGTAGGAAATAATTTGCGTATCCGGTTAATCGGGCAAACGAATTCGAATATTAAAGTACGGATTGATCGTTGCGCGTATTAATAAAAAAAATTGACTTATTAAAATTGTTCACGAATTATGACAAAGAAAAATAAATTTTTATTATAAAAATGCATTAAAAAAGAAAAATTAAATGATACTTGTTTTCCTTTAAAATATTTTTTAAACATGCTCAATATAATTTATATCATAATTTCAATCAATACTTTTGCGAATTCTCACGCAATTCGATAATTACGTAAGGGAATTCAATTGATAAGAGCACGCGATGAAGGACATGATAAATATGATGGAAATTAATTCTCACGCGATAACATTACGAAGTTAATGAACGTGGACGCCTGATCGAAAACCACGTGCTTTGCGAAATTACTACAATATTATGTATGACGTAAGCTTGCAATATCATTAGGAAATGACGCAAAATGCTAAAAATGTAAAGAATTGATTGGATTTCATTTCCATCATAATTTCAAAATTATTCTTTAATAGAAAAAAAACGAAGCTAACGACATAATAATCTGACGTAATTAAAATTTACTTCAAATTTACATTGAACTTTGGTATTTTAACTAAAATTAAATTCGCAAAAATTACTTAAAGTACATTATGAGAATTTAACAGTAATTATTCGAAAATTAAGAATAAAAACCAAAAAGTTCCATTTTTTATCGCTAAATCTTCCACACAACTCCCACAGAAACGCATACTGAACCGATTATAAAGCAATATCTATCAGAAATAAAATCAGATCAATATATAACTTAATTAATATAAGACTTAAATTTCTATAATGTAGTAATTTAATAATTGAACAATGAAAAGAAGGCGACCATGCTCAATGCAAGATACTAGCAAAGTCGAAGGTACTCCGGTTTGATGGTATCAAAAAGAGAAAACCAGCACCTAACAGAAAAGATAGTAGCGGATCCTACCTTAGGATGTAATTGACGCAAACGACGGAGATCGGCTTCTGCTGTTTGGAGCAATGGATGAGGGTGGCCTGGGTGATAACCCAGGCGTAGCCGCCTCGCTTGCCAAGGAATCTGTACGCTACGGTCTCGCACTGGCCCTTACTAAACACTGAAACAGTACAATGTTGATGAGAGAGCGATCATCCTAGGACTCGGGACATGCGAACGTATCCGCGCGATTTTATAGCGCCGCCGAGTCGCGCGCAGGTTTTAGCTGACGAAACATGTGGCATGGGATTGCAAATTTTATCGATCAATATGGGATTGTCGAATACACCCATACATTAGTACATTGAGGACTGAAAGGAATAAAGATAAAATAATGCTTCAATAAAATTTAGAATTTTGTGATAAAAAGAGAATAGAATTTAGAAAAAATATATTAAATTAATTTAAAAAGATTTTAATGAAATTATTGGCTCATTTATCTCTTTCTATTAGAATTTAGAAATTTAGAATTTCTGACAAAATAATATACTATTTTGCAATATATTTTGCAATATATTTTCACCGATATAAAACGTAGTAAATAAATATTAGTTCGATAAACAAAAATAAAAATAAAATTTATTATTAATAACTAGAAAAATAAAAATTAAATAGTTGGCAATAATATACCTATTAAGGACGTATCACACATGTACTTTTTAATAAAATGAAAAAATTCTTAAAAAATTATAAATAATTTTATATTGTATTTAAAAATATTTGATAATGCTTTAGAACTTGAATAAAAAATTAAATTATTTCAATAAAAAATAGATGTTTTAAAAAATAATTAAGACTAAATGAAAAAATTTTCATTTAAACTATAAAATTATATTGTAAATATAAGTGCTGATAATACCGTATAGAACTGTTTCATATGTATATAATATTTATTTATGTATAGATAATATAAATTTCCAATTTCAGTCATTTTTTGCAAAGATTATATATCTTAATATATATAAATGTAATATAAAAATTTATCAAAATTATGTCAAATTATACCATTTCTCAAAATCCTGAAAGCTGCGAGATTGATGAACACGGAAACTAAGATATTAAATATTTTATTGCGGTTTCGGATCCCGTCGCACATTCTGGTGCTCCAGGCTGCTTTAGGTCAACCTCTTCGAGAAGCGTATTATCTCGTTTCCAGAAATGTATCTCCCTACGTTCTCGTAAAACACGACTAGGGTGGGATTAGTGCGGAGCTGATTCGGCCGGAAAGTTAAGGCTGGTTGGCGTTAAAGGATAACGTTGCAGATTGCTCAAATACGCGAAACTGCTAAATAGTCTTTTACAATCGTATCACTAACAAGAAATCGACAAATATCTCGCAAATGCTTGATAAGACATGCATAAAAATACTTTCTCTGCATATATTAAACATTACAGATTAATATTTATCGATAATAAATTCACCAATTTGAAATTTTAAAACATTTATTATTTAAGATTAATTTGTCACTTTTCAATGTCTAATGTCACGTGATAGTTACGTATATTGATAATTGTTAAATAAAATATTTATTAAGAGAGATTACTATTATATATATACTTATTACATACTATTTTTAGTTAGTAATAATGATTCAATCGCGACATGTTATTCTCAATATATCGTCGAGGATAATTCTTCAGACTGTACTTCAATGTAATAAACGCCAGTCGAACAATAAATATCTTTCGACATTTTTATAGCCTCGTACTTTGTCACTATGTCTCATTTTTCATTATCTATCTACGGTTTTATGAGTCAATTACCAAAATCGACACGATAAAGTCACGTGTGTGCTCGTAAATATCGATGGAAGATGCAACAATTGCATAACCGGTAACCGATAACGTTAACCGTGCGTTAGTTTGCGAGGAAAGTCGTAAAAAAGGTCGTCGGGTAGCGCCGCAACCGATAAGAGATACGATCGTCCTTGAAACCTTCCCCCTCTCCCCCGGTCGTGTCATTCACCCAGGTCAACCCATTCCGTAAACCTTCTCTACCTCTCTCACCCCGCGTTTCCAGAGTTCCCTTCCAATGCTTTTTATATATCTCGTTCAATTTGATGGTTATCACATTTCGCATCTGTGTTACTCGCGTACAGCGTAATATTTTGAAATTAAATCAATTATTAGATAAAATAGCAATACGACTATAGTAATTCTTAAGCGCGGTCTACAATAAGTTGCCAACATCCCGTTACCAGTCGCAAGGAATAGCAACTACTAGTTGCTAAGTGCTATTTCCGGTTACAATATTATAGATAGTTGCGGTTGTCAAAAGAAAGTTGCCCTTACACGAATTGCCACTTAACAACCATCTAGTTTTATGCTTCACTATATATGTGTAACTCACGCGTAATAGAATTCTTATGATATAAAAATAACTCTTTTGGAATTTTAGAATTCACTCCAGATGAAATTAAACGATTAAAATACTATTGAATACCACGAAGAAAAATATAAATTTATACACAAAAAATTTAAGATTAAATAATTTGTAAATGACCTTAAATTTTACAGAGATTGATTTCGTAAACTAAAGAGATGATATGAATCATCAGAAATAGAGGAATGTTCGAGTAACTTTTAAACATTAAAAAAAATTTTTATTAAGTATTCTAGAGTTATCATGTTTTATTGAATAAATATAAAATTAAATAAAAAGGAAAAAGTGTAAAGAATACTTACGGCATTTGAAACACTTGTCCAGTGCAAGATTGTCGAGTGCATGATAAAACTCGAAGACAGATTGACCCATTAGCTCCTCACAGCTCCAGCCTAAGTATTCGGCCAATCTAAAACGAGACAGAAAATATTTCCAATGAAATGACGCAAAATAACATTCAATAATGCAATTCAATTGTTTTGAAAATACTACATGTGTTTGTGATACAATATGCGTTATAAGAATCATACTCGAATCTTATGTACGATAAAGCAAGGTAAAACTTATCGGATAATGATAAGGATAAAGATATTCAACCATTGCTAATTATGCAAGCCAACGATAATGAAAGTGACGAGTCAAAGTGTATTACTTTAAAATAATAACGCAATAACGCAATAAGTATAAAATTTTTTGCGGATTTACACATAAACTAAAAAAATCTACATTGGTGTGTCGGACATAAAGATAAGAGAGTGATAAAAATATAATAATTCTATTACTTACTTTTCATCAGCGTAAGTAAATTTCATGCTGAGACTGTGCTTCGACAAAAAGGTGTGGCGTCCTAAAGGTATCTCAATATTACTGGGATGTGGTATGGGACTACCTACAAGCACCAGAGAAATGTCTGTGTCTTGTCCCGCGTCCTCATCCTCTTTGCTTTGCTCTTCATTATCAACTTCCATAGAGTTCGAGTTTGAGTCGCGGATGTTTGTCAACCTGCCGGTGCAGTGAATCACCTGCCAACATCCAATCACGGACATATTATTCACAAGCTTATTTAGTTAAAAAAAGTTTCAATAAAAGAAATCGTTTTAGATGAGCATAAAAAATGAAATATTAAAAGGAGCCGAAACGTCCGAAATAATTATTTTGCGAAATTTCTTGCAAATTTAATGTAAAATCGTCTTTAATTAAACACATTTATTAATTACATCCATGAATAACTGCGTTTATTTTTAGCTCTTAATTACCCACTAATTAATTTCACATTTATTATTATTGTTTTGAAATATTAAAACTTCTATTACACAAATTCTGTTACTCGATTATGTAGTATTAATTTTATTTTTGTGCATATGCATATGTGTTGTATTCATATTTCACATTTATAAAAAAATGCAAGTCATTATATGTGATAAATTATATTTATATCAATAGTAAAATTATTTGAGAATAAAATAATAAGCTATATATATGGTATTCTCAATTTATTATAATTTTATTTCTGTTTTTGTCTCTTGTTGAATAAATTAATATTTATTCAACATTTCGTGCGACAAATATTATAATTACTAGAATAGATAAAAGAACTTCGATATTTTATACGTAACATACCTTGTAAGAAGCACTTTTCAGATTGACCTTCCTGCCTTTGCTAGTGAGGGTACATTTGAACCGCAAGAAGAAATTGCAGGTACGTTTCTCATTGTTATCCGTCGACTTCGAAGATAGGCACTCGCGCAATTCATCATGGTCGCAGGGATGACTGTATTCGTATACACTTTGTCCCATCATATCCATCTATGCAAAGCATGGAAAAATTTGTTATTTAATTTTATTTTCCGAATACCGACGAAAAATGCAATAAACAATCATAAATTCGTAACCATCTTTTTTATTTTTCATAACAAAATTAAATAAAAACTAACTAGAAACATAACATAATTTCATTTAAACTTTTTATATTATAAATTTGAGTTTACCAAAAATAATTTTATACACATATTAAAAAATTCTTTAAAAATACTTATAAAAATCAAACGGAAGATACTATTATTTAAAATATAAAAATTGTGTTTTCAAATCATTGGATATTATTTATGATATTTATGTCATCTATTAATAAGTTACTCTATTATTATTAATATCTATTAATATTAATTTATGTTTCTCATAAGTATAGCAATGTTTATGGAAATACGTTTGATTGTTTGACGTACTTGTGACACTCCGAGATAATCTTTGACATTCTCTGACAGGTAGACCATATTGCCGTCACCGGAGAGTACTAACATAAAGCCGTTGAGAGCTTTTGGAAATAATTCATCCATCTTTGCGGACGACTCAGATTTTGTCAACGTAACTGGAACTTATGTTAAAAGATTCGGAAATTTAATAAGTACGACATTAATTAAATTTCAAAATTACTTAAAATTGTAAAAAATATAATGTTAAAATCTAGATAAAAATCCTGAAACTACTTACTTTGAAAACCCACGCTTATATCAAATTAAGAATCAAGTGACTACATCAATTGATAATATTAAATAAAAGGAAATCTTTGGTATACCCTAAAATTCAAATAAATTAAGTATTTTAAGATATACACATGTAGTATATAATTTAAGGTACCTTGTAAAAATTGTACGACTTTACTTTGTATATCTCATTTTCTACAGTTTCTATAAATCTAATTGCTCTAACGTATTATTATTTAATAATCCATTATTATCTATATATAGTAGCTATTATAAAATATCTATATTTAAATATATTTCGAATGTTTTATGTTTATATCTTCGTTTAAATATTTTGCAATAAAGATATTTCTATAATATTTTAGTTGAATAGTATTTCTGTATTCCTAGCTGAATATCGTATTTTGTATCTCCAAAGAAAGAAACATCTTTGCTGCAATGAAGACAGGCATTCAAATACTTTCATAGATATACTCACTGGAATCCACAACAGCTCGAACTTTAAGGTAGGCAATCGCCAACCTCATTACGCTGGCCTTATCTAAGAGCGCTGCTTGTTCCGGCGCGACCGGAAGCGCGGCCGCGAGTTCGGTGAAGATATCGGTTTCTCTACTACGTCTGCAGCGTGCTGCATCGCGAGATCTCTCCTTCCTCTTCTCATTGCTCCTGCAATAACACGAAAAGTTCGTCTAGCGACTGCAAAATAAGCTAGTCCGTCCGATATTATTGCTACAAGCCAGATTGCGCAATTTTTACTTCTTAAGAATCTTTTATAAACATGTATTATAGATCTCTGGAAAATATACTAATAAATTGTAAACTATATTTTAATCTTCTGACAACGATATGAATTTTAACTCTTCCATCTGCATAGAGATCTTCGAGAAACAGAGTAAATTTTTTATTTCATTCCAGATTATATAAAAATTTTAAAAAATTTTGGTATATTTGTCAAAGAGCTTTAAAGTTTTATTAAATATTATAGTTTTTGTCATTATAGCAATCGAATCGTATTTTACACATTTTTTTATAAATTTACATTTATCTACAAAATTTATAATCAAAATATCGACAGGATATACTTGAGGGTTAACATTCTTTGCCAGAACGCAAAGAATGTTTTAAAAAAATGCCATGATGATAACTGAAAAAATGTGGTAAAAAATAAAGAATATATATGTATAAACTTAACGTAGAAATCTCTCGAAAAATTAATGTTGGTTTCAGAAAAAAATATAATAAAAATATATAGATATATCACTTTTCTTTTGCGCGTTTTTCACGTAGAATGAATCACGTATGAACGAGAGCTCTCCTGACTATCTCTTCTATACTAGACTTTTTTTCCGCAAACAGACGTCTTGAAGTACCTTGTAAACGACAAGTGTCATGTCAGATGTACTATCACGCACGATAAACGAGGTCTGTCTTTTTCGAAGAATTCTGAACTAGTTTTGAGACAAACTATATCTGTCTCAATCTAACTTACTGCATCAGTGTATACCAGTTCAGAACTTGGGGTGGTAAAAAAACAGACCACAAGTCTTATTGCCCGATTCTAAAAGGTCACCGTCGTCAACTCGACTCGATATTACGCTGTTATCTATACATCTATATAATGTATGCTGTGCAGCTGCGAATACTGCTTGATCTCGAAGCAAGACTGCGCTCGATTACCAAGCGCAAATATATATGCGTATCGATAAAGAGAACATTTAAATAGTAATTCGGTAGAACTTGATTGATTGGATCTAACGTATTCAAACTTTGGTCAAATAACCAACTTCATTTTCAGTTAGAGAAATCGTTTGAGCAACCTAATTTTAAAATACACCAAACAATCGTATGAGGCCGAACATATTTGATTACTGTCATTGCTACAAAATGCAGTTAGTGGATTGGAAGGTGCATCTTTTTCGGTCGTTAATCGAGAAAAAACATCGACGTTATCGCTAAGCGAAGCGTTATCATCGCGACGGGCCGACCTTCGAACGATATTGCTTTTGAAATCGATCCTACGATCTCGTCACGTTTTCTCTCCCTCACCGCCCTCCTACCGTTTGACTCCAATCAAAGTCAAACTGATCGACTAATCCAATAGAATGGTAAATGTAATTAAATGTTGCGGAAAATTATCGCGAGGAAACGACTGTCAATTCATTTTCTTTTTTGCCGCGTAAGATTGATATAAAGTGTTCCATACTGTGTAAATTGCAAATGTTACATGCAAAGTCCTTCGATTGAATAAATAAAGTTTCTTTGCAATAGCGGTCTAACTTGTTTAAGTGATTGACAAATCTTACTTCAAAATTAGGAAAATCCAATTTTTCTTAAAAAGATATAAAAACCTACTAAAACTAAATAAAGTGATTCTAGTGAATTAGATTAAAAGAGAGTTGATAAAATTCAATTAAACTAAAATTATAAGATCCTGATTAATTTTAAGAAAAATTCAGCTCGTTAAATTTATATGTCGTATATATATATTATATATTGTACCCAAATGAAGTTATTTTAAATCATTTTTATAGGTTATCACTGTTCCTATTCAATATGTCGCTAATTTAATTAAATCAAGAGAATTAAACAATTTAATTTAAGAAAATGTATTAAATTTAACTCAAATTTAATTTATTATTTAATAAGCGCATATTAATGTGATCATTTATTCTGAAGTTACCATAGGAATAGATTAATTTATATTTTGATACATGGAACATTATTAAAAATAACAGAACGTTATTAATTCAAGAGATTGTGTTACTGCTGTTCGTTTGATATTTACAATGTACCATAAAAAATCATTAGAAAATTTCAATAAAATTATTATTTAATCTTATTGGACCGTGAGTTTAAAACCAAATATCGACGAGAACATGCCATAATGGTTAAGCTGGATCGTGGATGCTTCTAATATATAATTTCGTGTGAATTTATATACTACGTATGTAGATTCTTAAGTGCGCGCCGAAATTTTTTTCAGACTTACAACGCAAATTCTAATAAACTACCGCAGTATTATCACGAGTTAAACTGACTAACGATCTAACAATTTTCATGCTCATAGCATCTTGTTATCTTATTGTTAGTAATATTAAATGACATATTAAACTCTATAAATGACGTATTAAAAATCTGTAAATAATTAATTTATATTGCGAAAGATATAATATTACCTCGGCCAGGAGTCAAACTCGGATCTCTGGCATTCCATGCGAGCGTCCTAAGCCTTTAGACTACCGACGCTCGCACGGAATGCCAGACATCCGAATTTGACTCCCGGCCGAGGTAATATTTTTCGCAATGTAATTATTTACAGATTTTTAATATGTCATTCATAGATTTTAATACTATACGATAGTTTATTGCGTTGTAAGTCTGAAAAAAAATTTCGGCGCGCATTTAAGAATCTACATACGCGTAGTATATAAATTCATACGAAATTATATATTAGAAGCATCCAAGATCCATGAACTTGACCGTTATACGGCATGTTCTCATCGATATTTGATTTAAAAATTATTATTTACCATCTGTTAAGGTATTAAACATGAACACGTCGAAGGGTCTAAGCAGATGAGAACGGGGAAAACAAAAAGACATTACAATGATCGCCGACTTACAAGTAATTCTCGAGGAGTTGTTCGTCCTCCACATAGTCGTAATGCCAATTATCGTAGTAACCATTCTCGTACATACATGGGGGCAAAACAGGCATGTCGTAAGCATTCGAAGTGTCGTAAAGGGGACAGTGATCGCTCGCCGGGCACTGCAGCCACCGTTCCTCGCTGCAGAAATTGAACAGTTCCGGGCAATCGTTGCAGAACCAATTCCCCAGTCCCGGGTCACCCCGTCCCGGATTGTATCGTCCTGATTCGCGGGGCTGCTCCTCGAACAGCCTCGTATCACAAAATCGCAGATCGTTAAATTTTGGATCGCAAAAAGGCGGACCATCGTATCCTGAATTACGAAGCCGTGGATCGCTGTTCCCTAGATCACAATATCCCAGTGTACTAGGTCCCATGTCGCAAGTTTGTAGATTATTGGGTTCTAGATCGTTAGGTGCTAGATCGCAAGAGGGCAGATCATGGAAATTGAGATCGCGGTGATGCTCCTGAGACTGGTCCATCCTCGCGGCTTGTCCGTACCGCGATTTCTTCGAGTGGATCGCGCGATTGCCCAACGAGGGTGGCTTACAGCCATCTGTCGGTGAATCAAAGTACATTGCGAGATCCTCGACGTCAATAGGGCCCAGCTGGCAGATTCTCGCCGTGTTCGCCGTGCGAGTTCCCGACTGTGGCTCGGCCAAGTGATTCTCGTTGCGGAACCACGTTGTCTCCGGACCGTCGCAGTCAGCAGCCGCTGGAGCGACATTGCACGTAGTCGCTGGTGCATTACTGCATGCCACGTTGCAAGTTGTACCAGACGCGTACGGAAATCTCATCGTGGAGCAAGATGTCGTCCCGATATCGCAAGCTCGTGATCTAGTATTATCACCAATGTGTGATGTAACAATAGGAGAGGGTGCGGCAATATTGTCGGGTAAGACGTTGTTAAACGCAATCGCTGGACCATAAGACGGCGGCGAATGCGACTGCGGTTTCAGCAATTCGTGAGACGGGAAATCGATCTCGTTTCCTTTCGCCATGTAACGCACATCGACACTGGTGTAACCCGATACCTTGCCGATCCAGTCGTCAGGGAGATCAGAGCAACGACCTCGCTGCTGATGAGCGTCGCCAAGAATGATGTTTCCACCCTCCTCCCTCGTCTCACCTCCTTCTCTTTCTCCTGCTGCCATCAAACGCGCGTTCATGTTTTCTCCTTGATTTTTGACACGTCACTTAATCTCTCAGTTGTTCTTCACTTTTAAACTGTTCTACTTCTTTTATCTTTATTTTCTTTAATCTTCTCTACCGTTTTTTTTCTTACCTTTTCTTAGAACTAATTATATACAATACTTGTTTCGATGAACAGTAAAAATTTGACATCTTATCGTGAAGATTTTTCATATCAACAAAGTTTTTTTCCATTCATCTTGTTCTTTTTTTCCTTATTGTCTCCTTTTCTCCGTTGAGAATCGATTCTGTTTGCGATTAGTTCACGGTCACCGGGAATTTCACGCTTTAATTATGCTAATTCCGTTAACGATTGTCCTTCACCTGTCCACTCCCGCTTTTTTCTTTTTCTGTCTTTTGTTTTTATATTTAAAAATCGTTCAAATTTACTTTCCTAAACTTATACACTCCGTCTATTCTTTTCCTTCTCAAATTTGTATACAAATTTCTTTATTTTTTCGTTAATTTAAGAAAATTAAAAATATTATCTTTATTCTTCATCAACAAGTCAATCACTGTAAAAATAAATTCAATCTATGTAAAAAAAACTAAATAAATTCAATCTATAGATTCAATCTATGTAAAAAAAGATTTCCTGCGTTAACGCGTTTTATTTTTTTTTGCATTTCAATCGATTTCCACTCGTTTGAAATTTCAACCCTTTTCTCACGTCTATCTTTCTTCTTTTGTTACTAAGAACTTATCTTGGTTATGGTCGGTCCACGTGACCAACGTATAATCAGGAATTACCTAGCACCAGTAAAGAAAGAAGTCATAAAAAATAAAACCTGCTTGTATAACTGAATATTAATATTCAAATCCTTCTTC